GACGAAAGCCAAGAAACGCGTCAGGTTTGCAGATGAACACTCGGAGGGGGTCTCAAAAGCTCCAGAACAGCATGAAGAACGACGAGAGACGTCCACCGAAGCTTCAATCGGCGAAGATTTGCCAGACCATCCTCACAAGACTGTACCAGCGGCATTTCCCGATGCGGAAGATGTTGACCCGGTAGCGATACAGCGGGAACGACGCAGACGGATACTGGTGGCACAAGACGAGGAGCAGAAGTGGTTTAACATCAAGAAGGTGCTTCAGTGCCAAGCACAAGAGCTGAGTTACAAAGAAGCTCGAGATGCCTGGAAATACGCAGACCGGTTTGTGTTTTAAGAAGACGGCGTGCTTCACTATCTTGGATTGAATCGTCGGTACGACCACGGTTGGCAAGAGGAGACCAAGCTGCGGCTTGTGGTACCGACAACGATGATTCAAGAGGTTTTGCAGAACTGTCACGACTCGCTGGAAGGAGGACATCAAGGTGTGGTGAGAACGTTCCATCGCGTTAAGTCCGATTATTATTGGATCGTCTTGTACGCTGACGCGGAGAGCATGTGAAGTCATGTCCAGATTGCAGCTCGAGTAAAAGCCGTCCGCAGCTTCCTGGATACTCACCTGGCAACGTACTAGCCGAACGACCTTTCCAGATCGTCTCGATGGATTTTGTGATCCCACTACCGAAATCTCGCAGGGGCAACACGGCGTTGCTCCTATTTCAGTGCTCGTTTACGGGATTCGTTATTGCCAAGGCTATGTCAGATACGACTGCACTGAGTGTTGCCCAAGTGTTCGAAGAATGTGTGTACCGACGATTCGGAGCCCCATCATTAATAAGGCATGACCGCGACTCACGCTTCATGAGCGAGGTTTTCCAAGCATTTGCAGAGATGATGCAGTCAAGATCACGAGCGACTTTGAGCTATCGGTCACAGGCTAATGGACAGCAGGAACGCTCGGCGAAGTCGGTGATGGGTTCCGTACGGGTGTACGCGGAAGACCCTCTACAGCAAGATTGGGACGAGATCGCAGAGAAGCTAGTATTTGCTATTAATACTTCTCAAGACACTACGAGGAAGGAAACGCCGTTCTACCTCGTTCACGGTTGAGATGCGCAGTCGACGTTGCAGGCGATGTCATAATCACTCAAACGAGGACTTGACAAGCCGTCTGACGCACTGGCATGGCGGCGTGAGATCAATCGACAGCATGAGGTCGCCCTCACTATGGCCAAGGATTATCAGGCTGTAGAAAAGGAGCGAAGGGCTAAAAAGCATAATGATGCTCTGAGTCGACTGGAAAAAGCTGCTGTACCTCAACCAAGTGGAAACGAACACTCGGCAGACCCCCTAGAAGCTTCAGAAGAGATGGAAGATCCTGCAAGAGCCCCACCGAGATCTCTTTTCGAGATTGGGAGCCGGGCGTGGTTGTACATGGAACGCGTCAAACCCGGGCTTGACGAAGAAATTAGCTCACCGATGGCATGGACCTTTTCGGATCAAGCGCAAGGTGGAAGAGTTTGCGTACGAGCTGGAACTGCCTGACCGAAGTGGGTATCGCTTCTACCCAGTAGTGCATGTGTCGAGACTCAAGGCTGTCAACGAGTTCAACAGTCGACCGAACACTCGGTTGGTACTAGACGCGACTAATGAAGCAAGACTCGACTTCGATGAGGAACTGTTGCCTGAGGACAGCTGGCCGACCAAGATTCAGCTACGCAACGCTCTCACATATTTAAGAAGCCGAAAGCTCAAGCTATCGAGTGGCAGTGGTGGATCTACGGACGGTACTCCCCGAAAGCGAAGATACAATTCGTTCTCGGATGGAAGCGAGTCTCCACCACTCGAGGAACACCGCCAGCCAGAATATTGAAATCCCGACTAGTTTTTTTTTCCAACTCACTTTGCTGACGACACAACACCACAGCGGTGGTCGTCAACGGGGACCCCAGGACGCACCCCGACCTTATCTATCGTGTCTGCCCGCCCATTCGTAGTCGACTACGAGATAATAGGCCCAAGGTCGAGGAGGCAACTTAATCAAGATGCAGCACGAAGGCTGCCAGGTATATTACAATAGACGACACCGTTTGCCAGACAGTTTCTCTTTTCTGTTTTTTTTTCGCTCACCCATTGCGTTTAAGGTAGAATGTAGACTGAGAATATTTATAGGTAGATAAAGCTTGGGTATAATACAAACTATAAGTCACCTATAGAAATGCAATGTCACCAGCCAATGGTTGGCTTTGGACGACCTTGGTACCTTGTACCAAATTTCTGGAGTATGACGTGTCATACTTTTGAGGTGTGACGTGTCACACTTGATGTAACTAGGGGTACACTTAGGGCTACGTACCCCGTTACACTCAACAAGCCGAATTCACGGATAAGGGCACACACTTCACATGATTCACAGCGACATTTCATCCAATGTTGACGTAGGCTCGTACAATGCGTTGCTTGAGCACATTCGGAAATAGGTCATATTCAAATCTTCCATCCGGGACGAGAGGTGCCCAAAGTAGCGACAGAGCGAGCACCTTCGCAACTTCCTCCCTCCTCGATTTCTTAATTGCAAGTCCGACTTGATCGACCAGTAGCTCTTCGAGAACGGCATAATTTACCTCTCTAAGTACGTAGCAGCATGGTCCGAGCGGGCCAATCAGTACTCCAGCCTTGACTTGTGAGAGTGGCGGAATTTTTGCAACCAACTGAGAGCCACCACTTGTTTTTTTCTGTATGCGCAAGTTGCAAGAGCCAGTGAAAATACAAACCCCCAGTGCAACTATTTTTGCAAGTGATACTGTTTTATTTGCAAAGGTATCGCTTTCGCGAGAACTTGAACTGTGACTACTGCACCTGATCCGCCAATAAGAATGTGATACGGATAAAAATACAACCTCGGTTGCAAATGGCCGGTTATGTAGAAGTACAGCGACACCAGTGATCACCAGGCCACACGGCCTGTGACGTGCCCTGGAGTGAGCAATGACTGAACTTTCTCTAGTAGACCCCGATGCTTCTGATTGACTAGACAAGAGGCTCATACCCGGCGCAACAACATCCGGTTTCAACCTCCCGTCCGTTGTGAACCCTGCAGAGGAAAACGATGCAACTGTGCGCTCATTGAAGACATCAGGGCACCCAAAGTCTGTGAAAGAAGCTGCAGAGTTCAGCGATACGCCAACCGATATTACGATTTTAGCACCGGATGGAGATGAAATGGTGCGCTGACCAGTAGTCGAAGACTCGCTACTGTTGCCTGCCGCCACAACCACCAGGACGTATAGGTTTTCATAAATAAAAGCATCCAAATCTCTGGCTCGTGAGCGACCCAGGTGTGCCCCACGAGAATGAGAAACTCTTGGCACCAGCGTCAATTTGACTCTCTAGCAAGTCGCTGGCGTCTGTTGGTGTGACTAGTGACGCGGCACAATGCAGCTGACCTGCGCAGGTTTTGCTCTGGGTCCCGATGTCCGTAAATGCTATCCGTGCCTTGTCGACAATGCCGAGATTGGCATGTTTACCGCTAATTGAGCTGCCAGCTAACAGTCCAGCGACGTATCGGCTTAAATCCGCTTTGTTTGCCCAGCCATTGTACATG